ATGCGCAGCATCGCCTTAGCGTTACTCGGGGGCGGCGGGCTACCATTCTTCATTTGCGGTTCGCCATACTGTGCGTTTTGTAGACGGTAGTTCTTTGGCACTATGGATGGTGGGCTGCGATGTTCAGACGTGAAGCGTGCGGTAGTATTAGTACGTGTGAGCCGCGTTTGAACGTTTCTTGTATGTGTGTGTGTGGGGGGGGGGGGGGACTTCATTTGGACATGTGGGACTGCGTACAAGGAACCGCGTCGCCTAGAATTTATCGAGGGCCACTGTGACCTTCGGCATCAAAAAAAAAAAATCAGTGAGTCCCCCAATTCGACAAGCCGGCGAGGTGTGGATGCGTGTTCAGCGAACGCCACTCACTATAGTTTCCTATAGTTCAACCGAAGTTTATGCCAGGTTGCGTCGAATTTGAGAGGGTTCGTTGAACCATGCCGCCACTCTAGGTCCATACTCCCCGTGACAGGGCGCGCGTACAGCTTCCGGGATTAGCTTACACTTAGGACGTTGATAGCTTTGTCAGGGCTGTGGCCACGGGAGGTGCACCCGACGACCAGGAATGGCCGTGGAGTTTCCGTAACCGTAATTTCGTCGCCGCCTTTTTGTGGTGCGTAAATGTTTTTCGTGGGTTGCAATACGATGCGACCAGATGTTTTTCTGGCCGGCTTGTTGTCGCACTTCAGAAACTGGCAATGTTTATCATATTTCAAGCACTTCAGCTCTGCGCAACACGTTGAATCGGGGAGATGCTACGGGCTCAGCACCCTTTAACTGTTCACTCGCGTTTTGCGTATTCTTTTTTTCGTGCTAGCCCTTGCCCTCTACTCCTTTCCAGCTTCGACTTGGCTCATAGACCGACCATGGCTTTGCCTTCTAGCGTGATTCGTGAGACGGCGTTTATTTAATGACGCCAGCATTTATCGTCTAGCAAGTTTTCCTTTCGTTCCAGGAGCGCTAAGCGACGGACCTATACTGACACACCCCACGCTACACCGGCGTATGCTGCGCACTATCCCCGACGGAGTCTTTGTGGCAGACGTGCCATTGGCATTGCATTGATCGAGTAAGCATGATTTTACTATTTCCATGAGTACAACAAATTCATACATTGAACGTGATGGGCCGCAAGCTTCTGCAAGCTTTGTTGCAGCCATCGTCCTCTGTGCTTGTTGAAAGATGTAGGGGTGCATAAAGGGTCACACCACCTGTATACCGTACTGACTTAATTGCAGTCTTATTCGTTGCATTGACAAGCTATAGTTACTGAACAAGGCTGTCTGTACAGGCTGGTTGGTATTTCATTGCAATATTTGGTGTAGCACTGCGTACAAAATTGTATAAGAACTAGTTTACAGAAAGGAGGTGCACTCGCGACTATCCTTTATTTTTTGCGTTCATTGCACATATAAAGCGAATAAACCACGTGATACCGCTAACACTGCCCCATTTGTCTAACAAGATGAAAGCAAATTAAACCGCCCACCACTCTAATCGTCGAGATAGTCTACTTCACAAGAAAACGGGTCAACAGATAGTTTGCTGATGTACCTGCTGCCCAACTTTTTGATGACATACCCCTCAATATATCTTCCGCTCCTGTTTCCTTCTATAACTTCTTAGTACTCGCGTCTTCTCAAGCTCAGGTGCGCTGGTCTGACGCGCGCTGCTTGCTGCAATGGTAAGCCAAGTTGGTTCTCGTGCCAATCTTTAACGTGCTCTTGTGTTAGCTTGTAAACGTCCGTTAAGGCACCGCCCCGTTTGGCCAATGTACACCAGCCGGCACTTCAGAGGGATCACGACACGTACACGACGTTCCTTCGGCATCCGACGAAGACCGTGACGTGCTTCTTGGCGCACGTCGGAGTCCTGTGTTCACGAGAGTTCACTTGGTGGCTCATGGCTCTAAGCTTGTTTGGGGCACTGAATACTACACGAACACCTAAGTGTCCCGCATTTTTTTTTTTGATGTGATGCGAGACGCCGTGAAGATAAGGGATGATTGCAATTTTTGGGCTTGAAACCTGTCCTTTGTAGTTCTCTGCAGCTTCGGTGTGTTTCTTGCGCAGACATTGTCGCCAGTTCACATAGCATGTAAGAGGGAAACCCGGCATCAGTCGATCTCTCCGTTTGGTTGACAAAATAGGAAACCACCTACCGTTTCTTTGACTCATACCTATAGAGTCCGCCGTTGGGGACCGTATATGGTATTCTGTTGATGTCCCGTATGATGTGGGTTCGATGGAGGCTAAACATCAGAGGCCCGTGTACAGCGTGCTGCATTTGTGTGTTAAACCAATAGTGAAATTTCCGGAGCCCACCACTTTGGCGCGCTTCATATCATGATATTGGGCTCGTCAAACCAAAAATATATATACAATATTTTAAATCGTAGCTCAAGGTTTCTAGACAGATATTACACGCGGTAAAGACAAAAAACAACAAAGCGTTTCACAGAAGATCATTTGTAACAGGTATATGGTCGTAATTTGATTATGCGACTGCGGCCGCTGGATGCAGAGCGGCCCTCATATAACAATAAGGGTGGGAAAGGTGATTGCAATCTTGTGCTGAATTTAAAAGAAAGGCTTCGTGTAGTTGTTAAATGGCTCGTTTGGCCGATAAATATGCGGCACGGTCGACAACGGCGCCTTTTAAAATAGGATCGCATTGAATTGAAAAAAAAGAACTTGTGTGGTCTCGAATGGCGAGCGAGCGCCACGCCTCGCTCTTAGAATGAACGGACACAGTGAATGAACGGACAAATTAAACACACACATACATTTATTTAACTAATTTACAACGACGATATCGTCCGCCGAATCGATACATCCATCGTTCACACTCTAGGACATCCGTACACAACATTACCATACACTCCATGACAAACACAATAATACGACGAACACACATTACCATGACAAACACAATACAACACCCAAGGCGGCGTCGCCAACGCTTGACTTACCACGAGGGCCCCCGACGCGCGGGCCCCGCGGTGCCACGCGCCGAGGACCCACGCTAGAGACGACCGTTCGCGGCAACCGCCACGCACCGAAGAGACTCGCTCGACTCTCGCCCGCCCCCAAGGCTTGCTTTCCGCCAGGGGTCACCACCGGGACTACCACTGTAACAACCATGATGATGATAGTGGTGCTCAACGCGAACTCAAGGCCACCTACCACCCGGTGGTTGTGAATGGAAATGCGGCTTTTGGGCGAGACATGTGCGCCACGCAGCGCGAACTTTACAGGGGGCGTCAGCACCCCCACAAACTCTATTAGGGTTATGCAAGGAGGCGCATCTTAGTCCATACGTGGGACCACCAGAGGCACCGCGCATGGCGGCCGCGTCGTGGGCTTGCTCAACTGCCCGGAGTTGGCCGACCAGGCGTGGACTGCTAATTGCAGCCATCATCACCATAGCGTACGGTTTGCTAGCCAGCACTAAGGAGAGAGAGAATGGGGAAGAAAGATGAAAATGAGGGCGAAGAAAAAGGTAGACGCCCGAAAAAGAATAAAAAATGCGGTGGTGCTATGGCCTTATCAAAAGGCCACTACCACGCAAGCAGTTCAATTAGGCCTTGACTGAATTTCTGTGCGAAGAGAGATCGTGTCGGCGTTTGAGCACTCACTGTTCTCATAAGGATCTGTTGTCAAGACGGGCTAACGCAGCTGCTGGCGGCAGTCTGTGCGCGCTGTAGCGAGGGCATAGAGGGCCAGCAAAAAAATGCCCCCCTCCCCCCCTTGGTGTGTTTGACCAATGCCACCCCTGCCGGAGGGGGAGCCCCACGCACGCCTCTGTATAACTTATGTTCATTTCTCTCTCTTCCTTCCTGATCAACATCCTTCTATTAACATTGCTGAAACGTGGGCTACCTGGTTGTACTTCATGACGAACCAGCCGCGCAACCACACATAAGAAGAAAGATCAGCACTGTGGTTTCGTGTTTTTCTCTGCATGGTTCCGCTGACGGTTCGTGATCGTTGTAAAACAAGGAAGAAAATCACGTTTATATGACTTCATCCCACGAGCTGCTACAACTCTGCCTGTGTGACCAGCGGGCAGGCTCTCCATAGTGCATTCGGCTTGAGACAGTTTCCGGCTATCCGAAAAAGCTTAGGTACAGTTTCACCCTGCGCACTTTATGGTCACTTGCACAGCTGTGACCTCTGCGACAAGAAATGAAGGAAGCGCTGCACTGTTCCACCTCTCTGGGCTGCCATCACAAGCTCTTGGCAAAATGTCCTTCTAAAGTAAGCTGCCCGGTGAAGAAAACCGCCCTTTATTGTCAAGAGAAACAGTGAGAGGCGTAAGTAACAGTAGAAAAAAAAAAGAGAACACTCATAGAAAACAAAAAGCAACGGGGAATGAGAAAGAGCAAAGAAAAGTAGCTGACGTTAGAAGCAGGAAGTGAAGGGCCAAGGGGAGATGGTGGGGAGCTATTATCGAAGTGGTGCTGGTCAGAGATGGTGCTTCAAAAATCTCTGCTCACCCTCTTTGGTGGTACAATTCTTACAACCGGGCCAGGGGCAGAAGAGAAGCGCACGCTAGGGAGATGGCAGTACTGTAGAAAAAAACAGGTGGCAGGGGGGGAAGGGAGACTCGCGTAGGAAAAAAAAATGCTTCCTGGTAAGGAGGCATTCGGGGGAGAAAGAGAGAACAGAGTTGTGTACGTAGGAACACACAAACAAAAAAAAAATCAACCAAAGCAACACGTCACGGATGGGGGGGTCTCTAAACGGGCGCAACTATGCAAGTAGTCAACCTGTCCAGAGTGATTGTCATCACTCAATTCACATAACACGTGAAAGAAACTGAGGGGTCTGGAATGTATAAAAAAAAGAAACACTACAATATCAGTCCTTTTGTCCTTGAGATCAGTTCTTTCGTCACAAGAGCTGCACGCGTGAGGAAGGTGTGGGTCGGCATTTTCTGTGAGCCTGATGTCCCGCAAGCCAGGAGGATCGTCACTCGTCCCGTATGGTGACCTCGTACCCTCACAAAACTTTAGGACCTATGCTGCTCATTGAGTTGTGTTCGTTGTCGCCATGGTGATGGTCTGTCTCTCCTTTTGTCACCTTCCAGCCAAAGTGTCGCTTGGTTGTCTCTTCGTTGTCAGAAATAAAAAAAACTGGTGCAGCCTCTTCCTTGCCTTCAAAGATGGCGAGCTTACTTTTCTTCGCCTCCCATCCTGAGCGCTCGTTCACTGCATCGTAGGAAAAAAAGCTTGTAAATGAGCGCTACGATGGCGCACTTAGAAAAAGAACAAAGATAGAGCAAGCTTGATTGTTTGCGTTGAACGTTTAAACCTGGAAACCACACAAAACGTGTGCTCACTGAGCAGGCGGCATCCTTGATTATGCAGCACTATGTGACATATCAGTTTACCGGTTTATTAACTTTACGCACAGACAAACGTATACGCAATTTTTGCCGAGTAAATACTACAGACAAGTGTTTGCTGCCTGTGCTGGCTGTCTGCCCGCCTATACCGATATCTTCACAAGGCTATCAGTTCCAATTAGTGCGTGCAATCTCATGTACACTCAACATAGCCTAGGAGGGTTTCAAAACACCCTCAATATTTCAACATCTTGAGAGTGCACATATACAAGCACACATGCACAAACATACATAAAGTTTGGTTGAACTTCTTTCTCACTTTGCCTCTGCAAAAGTAGCTTGGTTGCAATAGCGTTTTGAGTGAGTTGCCAAACATAGCAGAATTCCAGCGTGAGGCCCGCAAAGCACGTGACTTGGCCTCAAAATACATCTATATAGATTTAAGGAAAGTAGTTTCCAACATGATCAATCATTCGTAACATCTGCCGAGCGGTGACAACACAGTCGCCAACAGTTATTCGGGTGTGGAAAATTCGCAAGTGGTCGCTTATTCGGGCATTTCAGTGGCACTGCCACAGTATGGACGTTCTTTTCATCATTAATTAGGTGGTTTGTAGCGCGATAGCGTTAAAGGGCTCGTCTCGCAAAAATTGCGGCGTCGGCGTCGGCGTCATTGGTTCAGAGTGGGAACCGAAGCAGGGCCGTTTGGGTCCGAGTGGGTATCAAACTCGGTTCGTTTGCATGGCAAGTGGGTGTTCAACCACATTGTCACACGTCTGCTTGTGAATACATTGAAAAGAACCTCCTTTACTTGAAAATGCAGTGAAAGTAGCTTTCATGGTTTACAAACACACGCGTCCTGTATACGTGTTTCACAATTCAACATGAAATGTTGCAGCAACAGTGCGTGGTACAAGCTATCATTGGCAGCGGGCATGTCAGAATATGTGATTACCATAATGAGTTCTAGGTTTAAAGCCGGTCGCCCACTACAAAAGGCACACACGCTACTGCGCCTATTCCCTCAAGGCCACGTAATGGGTGCGTAGCAAGTTCGAAAAGGTTTCATGCGCCAAGCGTTTGAAGTACGCACTAGGAGCAGGATATCGCTATCGCCTTCAACGCCTATAGGCGAATCTCGAGGATCCGCTTTTTTTTTTCTTACGAAGTGTGAAATTTTGGCGCAGCTGGCCATGCTAATGCTGCAGAACTACATTGAGCACGTGATGCAACCAAAGGCCCGCTCACCTGTCCCCGCTTTGGTGATGCTGGCTTGGCCCCTGTCCCTGGAATGCCACCATGAGGAAAATTTTTCTTGTCGGAAGGCTTTAGAATCTACAAGGCAGACAGCACAAGCAGCTGTGAGAGTTGCCACGGACAATATTAAAAAAAAATGAAACAGTGCCTGCGCGAGTGTGCACTTGAAGGAACTTTTAGCTTCAAAGAGAAATGGAAGAAACTTTAAATAGTAGCGGAATTTGATTTTCTATAGAATGTATACTACTTGTAAAACAAGTTACGGTTAAAAAAGCACTATACTTAGACCAAATAAGCTGGTTTAAGAAGCTTTTAAACTTAACGGTGAATCGATGCGAGAGTAACATTTTCCTTCAACCTTGAAGTGGAGCTTTGTGGCAGTGCGCATTTTTTTTTTGATAAGTGTAATCACGGTATGGCGCTCATCAACTTCAGTGAAACCATCTTTAGGGAAGTCATATGTGGATTAATAAATCTGTTTGTTCACTTCGAATACTTCAATGCTCTAATAAATAAAATTCAAATCGAAGCGAATTGGAAAATTCGTTCGTATAACCGAAGTGCTTGAATATTGGCACAGGCCCAATTTTATTAAACTAAGTTTACCACCAAGGCGTCACCAGATTTTCCCGTTGACTGCTTACACTTGTGAAATTTCCATCGATACGAATAGTGCAATTTCGAGCACTCCTGCCAACGGTGAGCTTGACGCAGTGCCAGCGCACCCAGGTGCGACTCAAAGCGTGACGTTATTGGTCGTGGTATCCAACAACTGCGAGCTGGACAGTCGCATAGTGCTCCAATGTGTACAATGTTTAAGAAAGGATCTTACACAGTACAGCGGCGTACACGAGGACCATTTTGTTTTTTGAATAGGGGTCGACTATTCATTTATATGATAAATTAAATTGTGGTTTGAAATAAAATTTAAAAAAAAAACGAGCATGGCGTCGAAGCTAGACTCACTGTATTGTTACATCCCGTTTTATTTAAACTGGTCGAGCGGCTTTTGCAATTTCCGTAGACTCACAGCCGAGGGAGTTTGATTACATGTACACACTAAAGAATACCCAGCGATTAAAAAAATTAAGTGTGGTATACTTATTTACAAAGTAATTCAAATATGTAATGTTCTGAAGCCGAATATCAACGGGGGGAACACTTCCAAGGGGTGTTCCTCCGAGCCTAAAATCAAGGAGTGTCCGGACCCACCTGACCCTTGACCCCCCCCCCCCCCCCTGCCATGATTTGCGCCAATGGACAATTACGCATGTAATGTACGCATGTACAAGAAGCTCAGCAATGGAAAGATCCACCACGCCTTACTTTGGTTTATGGTGACATAAAACACCCCACTGACTCACTTACTGCCGATATAACGAACATGAATATAACAAATGATTGGTTATAACGAAGTAAATGAAAAATAGTCTTGTCAAAGATACAATGTTACGGGTAAACGTTTATAACACATTTTCGGATATAAATAAATTATTCTTCAATTGTTACTGTTATATTAAGGTTTGAGTGTGGTCTGGGAGGAGGTGAGGGAGGGCTCAGTCTCACCTGGAACGAGCACGTCAGCTTCTCGTCGACACTCATGAAGGCACCGGCGTTGTCGAACTCGCCACAGTAGTTGGGCGCCGAGAAGATGGTCACCAGTTTTCGCCTGGCGAAGAACTCGTAGCCATCTTCCACCACCTGAGTGCAGGGCAAAAGGCGAGTCCACTTTACTCCTAGAATGATTTTTTTATAAATTGCTAGGTATTGTGATAGTGTCACGAAAGCACTGCTCATAATAGGTTTTTCTTATCGCTCTTGCAAAACAAAATACACAAGCGTTACGTCAATTTTTTCCCCTAGGCAGTGCAGAAGACAGCGCAAAAAAAAAGAACACCATAAGACAGCACTTCTGTCTCCGGTTGCTGTCTCTTGCGTTGCCTTTAAAAGTGAGCCATAACTAACTTGCTTAATGCCACATTTAAGGGAAATAAAGTTTTGAAAAAGCAGTGTTGTTCTTCATGTACCAATATGAAGTAGATGTTTGGGAATGAAGGCGATAGACACTAAGTAAACTGTCATTTGGGTGAACGTAAAATTTGTCTTTCGTTCAGACAGCCGTATTTCACTGTGAAAAGGTATGAACAACCAAAACTCGCCTGGTGTGCCCTGCAGATGAGATCGAGGTCGTGCTTGTGCAGAAACCTCGCGACCACATCGGGTCCGAAAGTGAAGGATACCCCACGGTCGTTCTCCCTCCAACCCACGGTGTCCTTGTCGGGATCGGCCCAGAGCAGGTCACACAGCAGACCCTGGTCGGGAACGTCCGTCGGCCGCATTATGCGCCCCACCTGCTCCATCGACTGCAGATCGGGGCTTAGACCTGCAAATACATCAACAGCACGCATTCGCCTGCAGAATGGCTGCATTCTTGACTTACAATACAGTGTCGCACCCTCGAGGAGGCTCAAACACCCGGCCCGCCGACGTGACACGAGTGGCCTGTGGCTTCACAAAAAATAAAATGCTTGAGACTTTGGTATAGTAGCTTCATGCTATTATTAACGATTTGCTCGAAAGTGGACACAGAGACGGGACTGGCAAAGTACACAATGCAGTCACCATAAGTTGAAGAGTGATCACAAAACGGAATATATTGTCGTCGCCAGCATCTGCCTGAGGCTTTGGGACGTTAAACCCCACAAATCAATCAATCAATCTGCCTGAGGCAGTGCACGTGGTCCGCATGAAACTTCACCACTCTGAGTGATGCAAACACCCGCTGGCCGCATCTCTACCTGGTGAGCATCGGGACCACGCTCTCACGGGCGGGAGGGTAATGCCGCGTGCATAGCTGCGTCTAGCTGCGAGATAGCGACGACAACGAAGATCGCGGATTTGCTCGAGAGGCGCAGCGCAGGCGAGTGAAGAAGACGACAATCTTAGCAGCCTTCTTTTGAGAGCATGTCTAAGAGTTCCACTGTCACTGTTCCTAAATAAACCCTCTGCACTTTATAACACGCGACCATATTTCTGAACTGGTGTTTACGGTCGAGTAATTCTGCTGATCTGAATCGATATGTTTCTCGATTGCTGGCGCCAAATCCTCTTCAGAAATGACCCATATATGAAATTTGGGAAATGTCTTCTTTGAAATGACAGCGTTAGTAGACATTTTGTCCTACTCTTACGCACCCCTTCCCGCTTCATTCTTCTTCACTGTAGGACTAAATTCGGCGACTGAGGCCCACAAGTTGAGGTGAGTTGAAACCCCTGCCGTAATGGTTCATCCTATGCATGTAGGTTAGTGCAAACAGCTCTAACATTTTGCCGCATAGAGATTAACAACGCTTATGCCGGCGACGTCACAGTGTGGCGAAAAAAAAGTCTTATCTCTTTGGTCTCTGCAGAAAACAGTTGATCAACGATAAGGCTTCCACGGAATGGCGGCTATGTCTTATGGGAGTGGCGTGTGAATACTCGAAATTTCAAATAGGCATCGAATATTCTTTTTTTTTGAAGCACGGTCGAGTATGGTACGTTTCGTGTGTGGCAAAAGGGTCGGGCACGTACCTCCATGCATGCAGAAAATCTTCTCGTCTACAATGGCAGCCACTGGTAAGCAGTTGAAGAGGTCTGTAAAGGTCTTCCACAGCTTGATGCTGTACCTCCTCTTGCCTGAAACCGGATAAAAAAAAGTCGGTTGCAACAATGCCAATGAGACTTCAAGCAAGACCACAATGGACAGCAATAAAAGATAGTGTCAGCACATCAACCAATAACAATTCATGTACTGCTGTAGTTTTTTTTTTTCACACACTTACAAGTAACCATTTGGAAATGTTATAATGAAGGAAGCAATGCAGTGACACAAGTGAACTACACGCATACACAAATATGAAGGACAGAAAGAGCACAGGAATGATGACAATATCTAGGGCTTAACGCCCCAAAACCTACGATACGATTATGAGAGACGCCGTATTAGAGGGCTCCAGAAATTTCGAGCAGCTGAGGTTCTTTAGCGTGCACCTATATCTAAGTACACGGACCTCAAAAGTTTGCACCTCTATCGAAAATGCAGCCGCCTCAGCCGGGATTCAATACCGTGACCTCCGAGTCAGCTGTTGAGTGCCGTAACCACTATCCACAGCGGCGGGGAAGAAAGAGCACATGAAGAACCGAAGAACATTGCATGAAACGTACAGCCCCCCTCCCTCCTCCCTACAGCCTCCGCTTCCTCTGAATCCGCGACAAGTACATGACCACCTCCCACGTTGCCATGACTGAATCAGGAGTTGACAAACGCGCCACCTGCAGAGCATGTGTGCTATAAAGTGGACCTCTCCTCGCACGCAGGGCACACGCCATCTGAATAGTTCTCAGGGTGTATTAGATGTAATGTACAATGATTCGGGCATGTATCCGTCCGTATAAATTGATTGATTGATTGATTTGTGGGGTTTAACGTCCCAAAACCACCATATGATTATGAGAGACGCCGTAGTGGAGGGCTCCAGAAATTTAGACCACCTGGGGTTTTTGAACGTGCACCCAAATCTGAGCACACGGGCCAACAACATTTCCGCCTCCATCGGAAATGCAGCCGCCTCAGCCGGTATTCGATCCCGCGACCTGCGGGTCAGCAGTCGAGTACCTTAGCCACTAGACCACCGTGGTGGGACCCGTCCGTAGAAATAACAACGCCCCGGAGATTGTCCGAAATAACAGTTACGGTCAATTATAAGTGAATTAACAAAAATTGGTTGCCATTATAACTGACTGAGACCATTGAATACGAACAAATTTTGCGATTTATGACTTAGTAAAGGTCTCTTGTAGGAGCCCTTAATAAGTACTGAATGAAGCTTGTATGGAACTTGTTAGGAATGTTTAGCTTCTGCTTCCAAACAAAATATACATGCAGTATAAAAGACTGGTTACACAGGCCCAACAGAGGTAGCTGAATATTACAGCATACCTTAAGCTTCATGTATTTTTACTCTGCCCGATCAGTTTCTCCCCTAAACATAGGAGATGGAGTTCCATGGCAGGGACAGCCATTTAATGCAATAGCTGCTGCTCGAGTTTGGACAACTCTTGCTGCGCACTGCCCTGGCTTTCTACCCACCCAATGGTTTCCTGTAGCACGACATAATCAATGCCAACATGAACTTACGCCATGCTCGACAGATCGCACCACAGTGCATCCCCTCTCCCCCCGCCCAGCGTTACGACGATTGGATGAAACGGCACATCATTGTGCTCCGGTGTGATGTTAGCCAAGAGTCATCAACCTCGCACCGTGTAATGAGACAGACTACTGATGATGTGGCAACGTTTTGAAATGTCGCCTCCCCCCCCCCCCCCCATTCCCTCAAGCCTTGGCAGTACTGAAAAAAAAACAGATAGCAGTCGGCAAGTGTGACATTGACCACCAATAAAATTTTCGAATGAAGACTACTATATGCCTAAGGGCAAACTTTAAAAACGAAAAAAAGGCAGAAACGCACACTCATCGTAGAAGCCGTAGATGCGGTTGATGGAGGCGCACTCGTGGTTACCGCGCAGGATGAAGAAGTTCTCCCGGTGCTTGATCTTGAAGCAGAGGAGCAGGCAGATGGTCTCCAGCGACTGTCGTCCCCGGTCCACGTAGTCTCCCAGGAAGAGGTAGTTGCTCTCGGGAGGGAAACCGCCGTGCTCGAACAGCCTGAGCAGGTCGTAGTACTGGCCGTGGGTGTCGCCGCAGATCTTCAGGGGGGCCCCGAGCTCCAGCAGGATGGGCTGCGACATCAACACCTCGCGCCCCTTCAGGCACAGGCCGCGGATCTCGTTCTCGGACAGCTGCACATTCTTTCCCGGCCGGCAGCCGCGCACTGCACGAGAGAGCGGGAAGGGGCTTTGAACCTCCCTTCACGGCTGCAAAACGGGAAACAGGCCCTTCGCAGATGGTTACACCGACATCGATACACTGGTTTGTGCCAGGGCAAATCATGTGGCGAGCGTAACGAATGTTTTTTTTTATCTTTGTATTTTACGGTGTGTATCGGCAAGGTCAAGAAACGAAGACAATTAAAAGAACACGCTGACCATGATAGAAGCAAATAAAAGCAAGATGTTTGGGGCCCCAGTACGGGAGCCTTGTTAAAAAAAAAAACAATTATGGGGCGCCTAAACGTCTTGCTTTCATTTGCTTCCATTGTGTTCAGCGCGTTGTTTCAATCGTCTTCATGTCTGTTCCCGACTACACGGGTTTCCGTCCAACTATTGCTTTCAGGTCAAGAAACGTCGAGTACGCCAACTCAACCGACATGTGTATACGTAAACCGTATAGCGTCACTCGTTTATTGGTTAAAGGTGCAATATACGTCAAGGTTTAAAGCTTAACACAGCAGCACTAAAAACCATTCACAATATAGCCTATCCATACCTAATCCCCCTTTGAAGAACTCCTAAGCGGCAGCCATCCAGGGACTGTCACAGCGGATGAAGAGAATGAAAATCCACCAGATCTATCCCACGGCGTCTATAGACACACCTGTTCATGGTGTGGAGCCACACCGACACATTTAAGATTCGGCAAAAATACGGGTTAGGCAAAAAATACAAACTACTGCTTTTCTAACGTGGATTAAAAAAAAACTTGAAAGCTTTAACTGTTAAAATACGGAATCTGCAAGTATGAGTGGTCATCCGAGCTTCTTGATACAAAACATTGTTAGCTCTAAATTTTGACACACCTAAGCAACTTCGAAGAGCTTCCCGCTCCAATAGAATCAAGGGGCTCATCTTGTACGCTGATTCACCAGAGAGTAGTACACAACCAAATTCAAGAATTGGTGAGCATACATGCGGTAAATCATGACCGGCGTATCCCCGCGTAGACCGGAACGAAGCCGGCCACTCTACCCATCATCCCAACAGTGCGTATAGTTTTAATTTTAACGTGTTCAATGTGATTACGCCAGCTCAGTTTTTCATCGTGCAGATCTATTATTCTATTATTTTTCTTCTTTCACGTTCCCTTTTAAGTCACTGTTAACGAAGAAAAGGAGAGAGAAGACGTCTGCGATCAGAGTCTGCTGCATCCCTTGAAAAAAGAAAAAAAAAGAGCACCATCTCCCGCAAAAGGGAATTATGTGCAGATGCGAAGCAGTGGGCGCCAACGCTTACACTTGCGACGAAGTTGACACGGGCTCTCATCACGGCGTTGCGCAGGAGAGAAACCTGGAGTGGTGCAAAGCACGCTGGGATATACCGGTGTTTCCTACTGGAACATGTCAATCGCTGCTAATGGTCAATGAGAGACAGAAGACTCGGATTGGACGCAGAGAACCGCATTCCGCTTTCAGTTAACGCGCACGCTGCTAATTTTCATTGTTCAGCAAGGCACAGGAGAAATCACCCACTGAAAATACCTCGGAGGTCAAGGGTGGCCACTGAACGGTTGTGCAGCGCGAGCCAGTCGGTTTTTTTTTTTTCAATCAAGAAACTCGCTGGCAGACACTGCCTGCGTGGGCATTGCGAGACGAGAGAGAGGGAGCGTAGGAAAGGAGAGAGCGGCGGAATGGACGCGCATGCACGGTAAGCGTGGCCACGCCGCACACCGGATTGAGCTCAACCCTCAACTGCTTCGCATCCGTAGAGGTGCCGGCGGTCAGCGCGTGACTGGCTGTCGACCTGTTCATCGGTCACTGCGACTTCCATCCATACTACAGCGGCGCTCCTCACCAGGACTACCGCTGCACGACTGCCGGACTCACCTTCAAGCAGCCTCTCCAGCAAGCTGTCTATGTTGAGTCGCGCAGGCTGGTCGGACATCGCAGAAGGTTCGCCTTCCGAGAACACTCGGTACAGCCTCGCAGCCGCCGCCGAACTGCCGACGACGACGTTGACAGGTCAACGAAGTCGGCCTGCGCGAACGTGCACCAGAGCGCGCACCAATGACGTCAGGAGCGCGGGCACGTGGGTGCCGCCCCCCTGGCGTCACTTCAATGAAACTATGAAACCAAGCATGACTTGACCGAGCGTGCTACGTACGAAAAAAATTAACAGTAAAGTAATTGTGTATTGTCACTCTTTATAAACACCATAACAATTATTTCTTTTCATTTTTTTTTGAAATTTACTTCTGCCTTGGAAGAACAGAAGAAAAATAAGGGTGTAAAATCTTGAGCCCGCACTATGAATGTGTTTTTCTTTTTCCTCGGAGTTTTCGAGGAGCTGACTACGCCGTTACGAACTATGAAAAATGGTAAATTTAATAAAACTTGCCCAACCCCGACTCCTTCAAGACCCAACATTTCACGTATCTTTTGCATTCACTTCCGCGTAACTCAGCTGACAGCGAATGTAAAGGTAGACTACGCGTGTTATGACTTCCTTTTCTTCTTCCCTCGTAGCAGAAAACTAGTCCTCATCATTGTTATTGAGGCTCGTCCCGAGCCAACGCATGGCCTCCTGGCAGCACCAACTCACCCTCTTTTCTTTTTTTTTTTGTAAGTTCAACAAAATGCCCTTTAAATCACACCAAGATCGAAGGCGAGACATTACTTTCTGTCTCGCCTTCACTATACCCTTCCTACTAGCACTTATCTTTCTCGCCACTTCATAAAACGCGTGTAATGTGAGCAACAGGCGTTTGGACAGTCACGATTTCGCGATTTTCCATATGCGCCGTTGCAAATGTTGAAAACGAAATGAAATCGGTTGATCGCGAATGACAGTCATGCGAAACGAGGAAGAACGGGCATACGACCGCACGGAAAAGCAGGGCGGTGAAAATTCACAACAGATATCTCTCGTATATTGACCAATCGAGAATTTCTTTAATCTTGACGTCATGTGAGCAATCTGCTGACGTCGCGAATTGGGCCACAAAGACGGCAAACGTCAGAAGAGAATAGCGTGCTTGCTTAGCGGTGTGTTTTTTTTAGGCTGTTTAGGGGCCCTTTAAACCAGGGCCGGAAAATCCCTATACCTATCACTGAACGCGCCTTCGCATGCTAATACACTGAGGATGCGCCACTTCCACCACTGGCGGCTGCCGTGTATCCAACTAAAAATAACCAACACGCAGCGGAGTTAATCGTTAAATGTATTTTGCCGGCAGTAAGTAGGCTGCCGGCACGACAACGTAGCCTAGCGGCACTGCGCTTATGTTAGTGCAGTTAGGCTTGCAGAGAACTGGGTTGAATTATCTACAAAAAAATAAAAAAAAAAAAACTGGCTAACCTCCCTGTCCTTCCTCATTTATTCCTCCTCCTCCTCCCATGCAAAATAAACAGGTGTACAAATAATGGACACAGATACTTGCACTCACCTGCTGTCAATAGAAAACTGAAAGGAACCTTCGTCGAACCAGAAATCCGTGGGTTAACACACCACAGAGTCGCACAAAATATGCGATGCCTCGGTTTGGCCATCCTCGTCTAATGCACGGCATGACTCACTGCGGCTTCTGTTCACCGCACACCAGATCAAATACCTTATCTTTCCCGCATTCACACTCGCCATGCCAACTGCGCGAGATAACCGAGAGTGATCTAACTTGCGATATCGCTGAGTGAGTGGCAAGGGTGAGCGGATGCAAGCCCAAAGAACAGAAGCCAACTAAGTCCCGTGCTGGGCATGACTAACAAAATGAGAAATAAAATGCATACAAACCACAGAAAATATTTTTTTTACAGTTTATTGAAATCACTTTATTTGTAAAAGAATTCTGAGAGGCAATAAGTACGGACATCACATGCACATCAACCTTCCTTCTTTCCAACCGATTTTAGGACGCCCGGCCACCGCTACGAGCGCGCGTCTTCCTTAAAGGGATATTAAAGGCAACTATCAAGTCGACGTTGATTGTTGAAATAGCGGCCGAGAAACGTCGTATTACTTTGGTGCCAAAGAAGGGCCTATATTTAAACAAAATCACGTTTTAGTGGTCCGAATCGGGTTAGCGCACTTCAAATTACCCGCCTCAAGAAGCGGACCGACCGGATCGCGCATTTGTAATCTGCGCGCAGTAGGTTCAACGCATGGCAACCGCAGCGGCGCGCTATTGGTCACACTCTCGCAGGGACGCCGCCACGACGTGCGCCTAGCAACGGCCTCCGCGCCGTACTCTCGTTTCCAGGTTGCGCCGTCGCCCTGTTGCGCCCGCGAAACACGCCGGCCAAACATGGAGGAAAAAACAACTCAGTGCGCGCCACGGAGGAACTTCCTCTGTGGTGCGCGCCGACTGCGCATTTTTACGTGCGGCATGTTCGGCGCCTGCGCGTTGTCGCCACTTCAAGGAAGCCAATATGGGAAAACACGACGCTCCGTGCACCTTTGTTTCTGGTAGGAGCAGCTCGGAAAGAGTTGCAAGTTTAGTTTGACTGTGATGCTACTAAGGTACTGTACCACCGAACATTAGGGCTTATGATCTGCCCTGCCCGTCCGTCGAGATGTCTAAGCGCGTTTGGACGCCATCGAGGAACGACGAGGTACCGCACATCACGAAGTGGAAGTATTGTAGGAAAAAGGAAAATGAAAAAGAAATACTGTGTTGTGGGCGCCTTCTGCATGCAAACTTCTGCCTTGTCGTGAGCACTTGGGTTTCGCGTACGTGCTCGTCAACTACAAGCAACCGCATGCGAGTGCCCGCGCGATCTGCAGAAACTCGCATTTATCTGGTGAGTTCAAGCTACGTTTGCGTAACGCGCTTGTGCTCTCTTGCTGTGAACTTTTTTTTTTTTTTTGAAGTAAACGCCCGGCGTCATAATCCAGGCCAGCGTTCTTTTCTTCTCTAGGAATGAACTTTTCTTATGTATGCGCTGGTGTGAAGCCAATAAAACAAGCGCGAGAGAGGCGGCAAGCCGCTTGAAGAGCTCTGTTCAAAGGATCCTTCACAGGATGGTCGACATTCTCCTCGCCATGAGTCTATCTGACAGAACGACTGTCCAGTGAATTAAGGATGGTAGGTGCACAAAGTATTCTTTTTTAAAAACAATTTGTACCCCAGGAAGTTTTGTACTAAAAGTGTATTACTGCATGTATGCATTAAAGTGCAAACTGCATGAACTGAAACTCCTTCCAACGAAAGCTTTAAATTTTAAGCGATCTGTAGCTATGAAGGCAATTATTCAGCATCTGTATTAGAAGATTAAGCAAAAATATTTATCCTATAATATTCAAAATAACATCACTTTCAATAAAACTTCCAAAAGTATGTCAACAAAGCTGAGCCATTTGCTTCACGATATGCAGCACATCCTTCTATGTTCCTTCTTACTCAGACTTTTAAAGATCGCGCGGTGTTGCGAAATACACACATTGGTTTTAGCAAGCGGTTTTCAGCAATGAGCGTCCTAATATAAAACAGTTTTGGCAGCTTAAAGGAAACAATATGCCAGCTTGTTTGCCTTAAGTGCCACACCGTATTGTGGCTGTTTTCTATTGCCTCTGATGCTTCATAACTTATGCATTAATTTTGCTGACTAGGAGTACACCCAGGTGGAATGGTAATAGCGCACTAAAAATGAAGACACACAGAAGGCATACACACACACACTTTTGGAGTAGGAAGACCTAGATAATGGTGGTCCAGCACGGGGTGCCCAATGGAACCAATAATCTTGTACCAGTGATATGCCTAACAATGTTGAAGATTTTATGAGCGGCTTGGGAGAAATAGAGCAGAAAGGTGCTGAAAGCTAACACTAATGAAAATAGCAGATGTAATTAAAATAAGTACTTTCATTTGTAACTGGCTATTTTTTTACATATGGTGCATATTTATTCACTTCAAACAGTAAATATCATTGACAATAAGCAAAACAGTGTGCCACAAACAGATATTTCTTTATATACAAAACCTGTGCTTTTAGTAACTCACTCAATGCATCTTCCAGTCTCTCAGATGTTTGATTGCTTTTTGCTCACCTTGGGTAAGTCTTTTCTTTTTATGTTAGAAAGCCTTTTAAAAGCAAAGCATTTCTTTAAAGAACAAAGGCACTTTGAGCATTTATGTCTATCTAGAGGCCTGCATCTGGCTGTTATCGAGCTCACCTCCTTAACTTGGTACAACTGAAAAAGGCACAGCGGGGAATGACAATATGACGAACATGACTGTCTGGTTATGACATGTATACAATGAGTGTCCTGTTATGTACGTCATGAAACCCCTTTTTCCAGTCACAGGCAGCATAAGCCGGTACACTGTGGTTTGCATTGCACGTGATGAGTTTATAAATATTGGCAAGTTAAATTTGAGCAATTTAAATAAAATCTGGCTTTGGCAGCATTGACCAAAATAATACAAAGAATGACAATTGGGCTACTAGCAGGAATCAAAATCCGGTATTCTGCACAGCAGTCAAGTATTTTACCACAGAGCCACGGCATGTCTTGAGACGGCTTTTGAAAAAAGGTTCTATGCAGGCATCATATCAGTGTAATGTTAACTATGGCTGTAGGGCCGGCACTGTAGTCTGATTAAAAGGTAGTAAACTCGACATATGTGTACTTAAAATACAGCTGTCATGTTGGGTTAATGCCAATTGTGGTTCCGGGGTGGCCTCCACTTTTGCAAGTCATAATAAACATTTCATATGATTCGGTAAGCTACATTCAAGTGTTGCTCGACCACGTAGGAATATGCTAATGAACAATCTTCACATTGTCGTACCATAGCATGCACTTTGTTGTGATGAAACTGGCAGCTGTGCTGTAAGATTAGTGCCGATGTGTCAGACCATAAGTTACCCTCTGAACTCCTGTGTAGTTAACGTTTTTGGTAAGTCCTTGATGAGCACGAAACTGCTAGATTTATCAAAACACAT